TATAAGTTGTTTTGGTTTTAATAATAGATTTTCCATAAATCAGCTAAGTAGATTTCGAAAATAATATTCATTTTTTTTCTATCACTTAAGATGTTTTTACAAATTACTTAGATCCAAATTATATTTCGTTTACCACAATGAACATTTTTTATTATTATGTTTTTTTAACAAAAATACAAACTAAAGTAAAAGGAAGAACATTGATGTCAGACGAATATGCATCCTCATTCATACTGATTTTAGTCTCAAACCTACGTGTTGTTGTCTTTCTTTTATGTATTGCGTTATGACGTTTTGTGAAAAACCTGTACGTGATGGGGAAACGTGGATATCATTTTTTGGATTCAGCGTTTACGTAGAACACGTAAAAATTTCAAAACAGTGAAACCATCGCAGGCCTGCGTTATTTTAAGTCAGTAAATTCTTCGTGAGTGTAACTGATTTTATTGGAGATGCAGAATAAAAACAAATAAACGTTTTCAAACCTGGTTTTTACAAAGTTCTGGGTAAATTTTTCTGAAAATTGGTTGAGATTTCAAGGTTTCATAACTTCACTCAAAGAGGAACAGGTAATCGGAAAATTTACGTTTAGGGGAGGTAAGCATAGCATTAGGCCCTTATCTATAGGATTTTTCACAGAGATCACTTGGTACATCTCTAAAATTGAAAATCACCTTGATGTGATCAGTGCTGTTGGTATTTTCATCTGGAATTTATTCAGTTGAAAGGTCAACAGTTATAATGTTGATATTGTCCAACATATAATTGTAGACGATCCACGTTAGTTTTTAGGCTACTCTTTAATGATTCATATCCATTTTCAGACATAGACATGAGAAACAGGCAGGTAAGTTATGTACGTAACAGTTCGTAGCTTTAAAACAGGGAAATTTGGGACTGACTTAGCCGTGTTTACAAGTTGCTCAGATCTTCGTACCTTGTTTACTATAGATTGCTGAACATAGAATACGTATATTCATGTATTAAATGTCATTTGCTGTGTAATAAATATTTATTACAGTTCTAGTTGTGCTAGGTTTCAGTCTAATGGATCTGTTGAATGTGAAATACGCAGTACTTTCGGTTGAAATAATTATATCTGAAAAATATCAAAGTTTTGTTATACATTTTTTTCACCTGATAATAACGTTAATTTTATTAAACATAACATTTTCTCAGTTACTTAGATTTTGAATGATTTTATTTATTTAACTTTCTACAGATTCGACCACGCAATAACTCTATTACCATCCTGTTACACTTTTGGTTTAGGTGTTTTTTAATAATTATATATTGTGTTATTACCATGTTATAGTTTCTGTCTCGGTATTTGTTTTTAATAATTATGAATTTTATCACCTTCTTACTGTTTCGGTCTAGGATTTTTTTTTAAGGGGGGAGGAGATAACAATGACTTTTATTACATCGCTACAGTTTCGGTCTAGGAATTAATTTACATTTTTCAGTAAATAGAATCCATTCACATTTTTACAGGACACAAAACCTTGGTTTAAATGTTTACAGTAAATATATTCTTGATTCACATGTTTACAGTAAATTAAGACCTGAATCACATGTTTACAGTTAATATAGCCTTCATTCACATGTTTACAGTAAATATAGCCTTAAGGGACGTAGAAAGTTGTTTGATTCACACCTTGTCGACAACTTTCAGAATCTTAGGGTCTATTTTTAGAATCTATATAAATATAATTGTTCTCTCTGTTGTCTGTCCATGTAATTACTTCGCAGGTGTTGATTGATCTTCATCAAAATTGGTGTGGAGGTTCATTTGTTCCAAGGGGAGATACACACGTTTCCATTTATCGTCACATGGATCCAACAAACCATCATGCCAAATTTGATGAAGATCCATCCACAGGAGGTGAGGTAGTGGTAAACAACGCCCATAAAAACCACAGAATTCAAAACTGAACATCTTTGCGGTTTCACATTTTGTGTTTTCTTATTTTAATAGGCATTTTTGCCTTTTTTACAATTACATATAAGGGAAGCAACTTTTCATGTCCTACGATAAACTTTCATTAATCATGAAGTTAGATAACTTCCGTCAATGGACCGGATGGGATATTGTATTATGTTAATGTAATTACCAACTTCAATCTGGACGAATCATCATCCGGCTACAAATATATTACACCAGCTACAGACTTATTAATTACTAGAACAAAGCGTACACTTCTTGTACTCTAAACAAGGTTTACACGTGTTGTACTCTAATCAAAGCTTACACATTCTGTACTCTAAAGAAGCTCATACCCATTGAACTCTACACCAAGCTTTAAACAGTTGTACTTTAAACATAGCTTACACACGTTCAACCTAAATTTATCGATTAGAAATTTTAATAAAACATGAATTCAGCATGTATTATTCCTGTTTGTTTTACAATATTTCATAAATCGGACTCGAGATTGTTTAGTGATTCATGTTGTTTTTGGTTTCCAGGTGTCTTTGTTACCATGCTGTTTCCAGAAACTAACCACCAACAAACGGAAACTTCTAAAGCACAAGACGATAAAGAAAAGGAAAAGCGTAATTGTGGAAATACTTCTTTTGGAGAGAATCAAACAGTACTTCTAAAATAAGATAAATTAAATTATCCCCCACCCCCAGCTGTCCGGAATCTGACTCGTTGTCTTGAGCCTTGTTGACTCGATGTTCTGACATTATAAGAAACTTTGTTAATTTACATTAAGTGTTGACAGAGTTCAAAAAATGTGTTTTTTGTTTAAAACACTTATAACTTATCGATACCTGATGAAAGTTAAACTAGTCTTCATTATTGAAGTTTTACTATCAGTGGTGAGAAAATTAATCAGAACGAATCTTATACGTGTTTTACTTTAAACAAAGCTGTACTCGTTGTACTCTAACAAAGGTTACACGTGCTTTACTCCAAACCAACCTGATACTTGTTGTAATATATAGTACGTTATCTTTACTACATTAATTCCAATTTTAGGATGGTTTGGAATGTTCTGTATAATGGCAGCTTTCACTTTTGTAGGTAGGTAATATTATTTTGATATAAATCATTTTACGCGAAACGTAAAACATATTTATGTTAAACAAATTATTTTTATTGTCTTACTTTGATGTGACAATAACATTTTTCCCCCCTCAACCTAGGGTGTCTCGAGTATTGTGTGGCCTTTGTTAGTTATAAATATATTTATCTCGAATTCCATTAGAAACTGTCTTTAAAGTGATTTTTCAAAGCGCATTCTGTTATAGAAATAAGAAATATATTATAATTAATTTGTTAACATTCTCAGTACAAAAATGGCGTCCTTTTTGTTACTAGAAAAATAAAATAAAGAAGAGGATCTTTTATATTTAACCACGTAAATAACGAGATATTTTGAAGAAACGTCTGCATTAAAACGTTTACTTATTCCAATAAAAAGGTTATTATTCTTAACTTTCTTTATATTCAACTGGGTTATTCAGGATATCGATAGCTCCCGAGGAAGCTGTAAAAGCGAAATATTGAGCTAATAAAGCAGTACTCTGGATATACAAGTCATTATTTCATTTGTGTTAATGAAAAGATAATAAAATTGTGTTAATTTAATGGGAATCCAGATATTTTATTTCTAGCTACGTCTCGTCTTATTTCAGGGAAAGTGATGTTTCTAATATGGGTTTGTGGTTTGTACGTCACCTTTCCAATTTGTTTTGTTTGTATCCCTGCTGTTACTGCTGAGGTATTTGGAACAAAGTACACCGTCATCATTTATGGAATGATTCTTTTTGTGGCGGTAAGACCGTGGAAGCTAAAATAACAGAATAACTACTTAGCTAAGCCTAAAACACTGCGGAACAATTATATGAGTTCGATGTCATTTTAGTTCAAAAATCTAAAGATAATTGTTCGCTAATGGCGCACGTGATACTGCCGGAAGTGAGATCAGGATCCCTAACCAGGATAGCACTTTTTGAATCCAATTGAATCTTAAGGAGTATGAAAAACTAAGCTTACAATTAAATGTTTCACAACTGTTATTTCATCAAGTTATTTCAAAAGAAAAATCAAAGAGAACACTTTATTAAACCTAAACGAGTTTGTTGCATTTTTATATTATTTGTGATGTAATTTTTATTTCTCGTCAAAATTAATATAATTTGTTGTGTTTCACTGACAAATAAATAACTACATTTTAAATTAGAAGATTTTTCTTTTCCAGTTAACTGTTTTAATTTTGTTCGCAATGAAGACCATGTTACTATTCACGCTGATCGCGACATCTACCGGAGGAGAACATCCGCTTACTTGCAGGGGCAGATGTTGGAAAACATAACCAAAACTAATTAACTTGTATTCACTGCTGTTATATGTTACTGTACACCAATTACTAAATCATACGACAGCGTATTATTATGAATCATCCAAATAACAGTAGTTTTACCGGATTTAAAAAAAATCATTTGTATCATTATTCAGATAGGCCTAATGGATTTTCGAGTCGCTGGTACAAATCCCGTCACCGAACACGCTCGCACTTTCACCCATGGAGGCGTTGTAACGTGATAATCAATCTCATTTTTCATTGTTAAATGATAAGCCAAAGACTTTACGACAGGTGATGTTCTATAACTGCTTTCCCTCCAGTCTATCACTTTAAAATTAAGGACAACTAGCACGGATAGCCCTCGAATAGCTTTGCGCAAAATTTAATAACCAAATTATTAAGGCATTAAAACCTTTACACCTGAGCTACGTATCATTAGTATGTTTATATTTAACTAAATTTTATTTTAGCTTTGTTACCTCACTTTATAGCTTTGCGCTTACCGATAAACACATTAGAAATGAGGCCTAAAATCAATACGTAAAAACTGGAAGCTATTTTATTTTAGTACAAAAAAAAATTATTTATTTTCAGAGATTAAAATATTTTGTTAAATTAATATTCTGGAAGTCCTCTAAAAATTTGATACAATAAAAATTTTTTATATTATGAACATAAACTCACCTTGTAAGAACTTTTTTGTTGAATTAGGCCTACCAAGATTCTACTAAGTGCGTGAAACACGGAAGACACAGATCCAACGGCGGCTAGAAACTTGTCGTCGTGAACGAATGATTGACCAAATGTCTAGACAAAATAATTTATTTAATAATTTAGACAACTTAAATATTTAAGGTCTATATTTATCCTTCAAGAAGTCAGTGATATGACTTAGAACAATTATAGTATTTTGGTTTAAACATTTTTGTGTAAATCGCGTTACTAGAGGGCCAGTGACTATTTGTTTGTTTTGAATTTCGCGCAAAGCTACACGAGGGCCATGTGCGCTAGCCCTCCCTAATTTAGCAGTGTAAGACTACAAGCATGGACCAACAAGCATTTTACTGAATATATAATATATGCTAGGGTTAATATATTTCAACGAATTATGTATTTTTTCTATATTTGCTGTACTGTATATTGATTCATGAAACTTTCTAATGTAAATTATTAATTATTAAAATGAAATTCAATGAAGATGTTTTTTTATAATTTATTTTATCCGTTTACATTCGTCTAAAACAAAAAAATAGGTTGTTGTCATATGACTTTAATTAATGGCCGGATTAAGATTACTTGGGGTTTAAGAGCTAATGGAATTGCATGTCTTTTGAAAAACGGGGTGTATCCAAAGCTTTTGGGGTCCGGGGATTCGGCCCCGTTAACCCTTGCGATAATCCGTCACTGGCCCCCTAATGTCAATTTACTTTATTATTACATAATATTAAATGAGATGTCACGTTCGTTAAGCATACCTTCCAAAGAGTTCTATCTGCTAGTAGTAACGGCAGTCTGTTCTTTTCATTCATTAACATTTGTGAACACATTCTACTTTTGAGGACTTCTCGCGGGGTTACTGCAAACTCTTTAGACTCAAACACTTCGGTTCTTGGTGTGTTCTCATTGGCCAGTTCCTTGGTATCTGCAGTGCTCGTGTGCTCTACTCCTTCCTGGTCCAACTTAGAAACAATGAAACTTTCTTCACAGTTTCGTTTGGTTGTTTTGACTGTGCTTTGCCTGATTTTTAGCGTTATAAACCCTAGGCTTACCGCTAAGCCAAGTTCCCGCAACTATGTTAAGATAAAAGTCTCACTAATATCTATTCGATTAGACAAGAGTACTCCAAGAACTGGCGGTGGGTGCTGTTGACTTGATTCATAATTATGGATAGCTACGCACAGATACCCCTGGTGTCATCACCACTCGCTTGGGAATTCAATAGAGTAGTTTTTCGGCGCGTGTATTATTTGAAATCCTTGTCGATCCCTACTATTAAGTAATACGCACTAAAAATATGTTATTCTGATCGAAATATTTGTATGTTTTGTTCTGATTGGTCGCATTGTATATTTTCAACAATTAAGATATTCACATATTTTTCCACCGACTGATTTGCATATTTTAATATTCTGTATTCAAAATATTTATATATGTGTTTCAGATACTTCTATGATCCTGGTATTTTAGACGCAGTCCCTTCAGTATTTCTCGTGACGGCGGGAGTACACGGCTGTTTTTTATTTGTAGGTTTGTTACTTTACAGTGAACCGAAGTCTCGAAGAGTTGAGGTAAGTAACAGTCAGTGGGTAGGACAAATATATATACAATAACTTCTCGTTCGTGTTTTTGTTTTCATTCGGTGTCTAGAACCCCATAGTTCTCTTCGATTCTGTTTTACAAATTCACCAGTAAGTCATGAACTGAAATAAACTTTAAATATCAGTTGTTGCTGCTAATATTGAAAACATTGTTCAGGAGCGTTTACTTTAGATATCAGTTGTTGATTCTAATAATTAAAATTTTGTTCAGGAGAGTTTACTTTAAATATCAATTATTTGTGCTAACAATTAAAACTTTGTTCATGACAGTTTATTTTAGATATCAGTTGTTGATGTTTATATCTTCATTTTACGGATTTTACAGATAATTAGTTGTTTGTACTAACAGTGAAAAACCTTGTTCTGGAAAGTTTACTTTAGCTAGCTGTTGTTTATAAGTTTATTGTCTACGTTGTTTCAGGTGTTTGTATGCCTACTGGGTCTTCTTTCAATAAATAATCGCTCGAACTAACAGATCTATTTTCAATCGACCAAAGTTTGGTAAAATTAATCTTTATAATCGTAGAACTCGGATGAACCTGATGCTATCGATCATAGACTCTTGTTTAGTTTTGCCCTAAACAACAACAAGAACAAAATATATGATTTCAAGTCGACAAATTTTGTCCATAAAATGTAATATTTGACGTGTTTAAAAATTATCATAAATGTTGTATAAAATTATCTTCTCTTCTTTTAACCACAAATTTAATTAAATATCATTTAACAATTATTTGTTTTTAGTGTAACAATTACGGAGGGAAAATTCTATGTTTGGTAATACTATTTGTAAACATTGTTTTCTGAATATTGTTTGAAATTCTCAACAATAAAAGAAAATATGAATTTACAGAAAAAAATACTGATAACTAGACGGATAGCTCTCTTTGTTGAAATATTCTAAAACTGCTTCTCTTCATACCCTGGCCTGGTGCTTTCAAGTAAGGACTAAACTTTTCTATGTTTCTCTCTTCACACATATATATCTATATCTAAATGTCTATTTATCTGTCCGTTTAAATGTCTTCCTATTCTATCTATCTGCCTTTATGACTGTCTAGGTTACTACATTGTTGTTTCTTGTTTCGATTTGTTATGACTAACCTTAGTTACCTATTTCATGACCTGAATATTTTAAACCTTAAAAAGGCATCTGGTAAAAGAACAATATGTATGTAGTTCCATTATTTACCTCTAGCTGAACAACCTTACAGCCAATGTAGGCTGTGGATTCTGAAATTGATTCAAATCTTAACCACTTATATCTCGCCATCTGGCACATCGTCTGAAAGAAAAATTGTAGAATTATACACGGACTTTTCTCTATGTTTAAATACTTTTATTGCGAGCTTTCGGCCCACTTACCGAACCCTTCATCGGTCAACAATGCACTGAGCAAAAAAATATGTATCTAGGCAATAGCCGTAACAATAACTGACATTTGATATCAAAGTTATTAACCATATAGAATTATGATGAATATATAAGTCGATTAAATCAATGTTCCACAGTTTAAGGAATTTCTTCCCTCAATGCATTGTTGCCCGACGAAGGCTCCGGTATGTGGGCCGAAAGCTCGCAATAAAAGTATTTTAACGAAGAGAAAGTCCGTGTATAACTCTAAAATATTAATTTATCTACGTTATGAGTCTTGTTACGTATTAGAATTTCAAACGGTCTGAAACCGAGTAAAATGATACTTTAAATTTAGTGGTTAAATTGTACTTTGGATTTAGTAGTTAAGTAAAAGTCGATATGTTGTCAGTTTATGATATTTGCCAACAAGATTGATACACAGTTTTCTTTTTTAACACAAATACGTTTTAATATACACACAACAGTATAATATACAATAACAATTATTACAAATAGTTATTACAAACAATGATTTATAAACAAAAGTTTCACAAACTTACAAGCAGTATAAAGTCTTCTTTCTAGTCTGGAACTTCCTTGATATTTTATCGAGAGTTCACGATGAGCGAGTTAATAACGAGTTGATGTAGGTACGATTCGCTTCACAGGAAGCTAGCTGGCTTTGTCCTTCGTTATTTACCGGCCACACAGCGATGAATTTATATAATGTTTTCATAAAAATACTAATGTCCAATGAGAATCCAATGAAGTTAAACGATTTGTAATGTTCGAACTTTTTAAAGGTTACTGGTCAAATATCTGAAGTTTTCCGATTGATAAGGGTTATAACAATCACTGTTATAGCTTCCAAAGTTTATAGCACACTGACTATAGCAAATTAATAACAGATACTTTCTTCTGGCGCGTCGCGTTGGTTATATTTATAGGCGTGTGGAGGCTTTCTAGAAAATTCATATTTACGTAACAATACTGAGCTACGTTTAAGCGTTTACGTACATACATTATATTGTTGATTCTTACAATGAAGTTAAACGATTTGTAATGTTCGAACTTTTATATTGTTGATTCTTATTCTCTAGAATCTTCTACCACTTTGGAGAATAGGAGGGAGTTTCGCAATACATATCCAACACTATAGGCTATTCATGTTTTTAAATATAAACTTAATCTAAACAAACGTTGACATTAAAATAAATATATAATAATAAATTCGTTACAGTCTTCAACAACAATGTCGTAACCCGTGTTAATGTATTCTGAGGAAATGTTTTACTCCAAACTTCTCTCCCTAAACTAATACAGTATATTTGTGTTTGTGTATATAAATGTCTCCATATTACTATAATGGACGTAGCGTGTATGTCAGTATTTATGTATGTAACCAAAACTCCTGCACCATCTGCTGAATGGCACCACAAACGAAAATCCATAAAATAATTCACACTTTGGGTATTCAAGATTCAGACAATTAGAAAACTACGTGTGTTATGTGC